AGGGGGAGGAGGAGGAGGAGGAGGAGGAGGAGGAGGAGGAGGAGGCCGGTCATGATGACAGTGAAGGTTAGCGGACAAGATTCTGAGTTTTCAGAGAACATTCTTTAACACCGGGTTGGGATATCTCCTTCCACAGAGTTATGAGGTACTGTCAGGCGCTAAACACATCTACATACGTTCTAGACTCTAAAATAGTGCGGGCCTCGCCTTCACAGGCTCAGGGGCCAAACTATGCCAAAAACGGTGAGGTGAAAGGAAGACTAATCATTATCTATTCACATTTATGGAATTTTCGGTAAACTTAAAAAAGAGCTTGCTAGCCCCTAGCATCTTCGGAGGTGTGTTCTTAATTTTAGTTTTTTTGTGGATACTCACTTGTTCTTAGTTAAGGATATTCAAACCTCGGAATCGTAAACCCTTCCCATGAAACTCCATTATATAAGCAAGCAAATCAAAACCTCTGACAGGACTGCGCCACAGCCTTCTATGAACTTATCAGTGTTCAGTTCAGCCTATTCTTTGAGAGCTCGGGCTGAGAACTGTATATGACCATTCTGATGGAGAAATGGATAGGCACGGAGATGAGGATGGACGTGGCTGAGGCGGGTTGGAAAAATAAACCACCGGAAACTGAAGAATATCCTCAATCAGAGAGAAGCTTTTGATCTGTAACAAACCAACTAACAGCTACTAGCAAGGTAAGTTGTCGCACTAACTGCAATTTTATGGAAATCAATCAAATGCCTTCCAAACTTCCGTTAATTTTACTCATGGGTCAGACTGAATCAAATCAAAACTACTTCTCTTCTATCCAGCGTCTGATACCGCGGAGGCAGGAGGCATAAACAAAGGCATCTACGCCCCCGTTGATTACTTTGTACGTGGCCTGGATACCTTCGACCTACCCGCAATTACCGCTCCTCCTGATGCTCTTATTTATTACATGGCAGCTGCAAGAAAAGCGGATGCCATTGCCAATGGCCATGCTATGGCCGGTATCGTCGATCCCCAAATGGAGTTTTTAGCACAGCTGGCTGAGCTGAAGGGGTGCGCAGATATAGGCGTTTTCAGCGGTGCATACGGTGGCCTTTTTGGCGGCCCCTTCGGCGCCACTTATGACAATCCTGAGAGCGGTGCTTTCGGGGCCCTTTTCGACGACCTTTTTGGCGGTGTTGAAGGCGGCGCCTTTGGTGGTGCTGAAGGTGGCGCATTTGGTGGTGCCGGTGGCCCCTTCGATGCTGCTTTCGGTGGAGGTGAAGGCGGTGCTCTCGGTCGTGCCGGCTACCTTGCCGCCCTCTTCGGTGGTGCTGGCGGCGGTGCTTTCGGCGGTGCTGGCGGTGGTGCTTTCGGTGGTGTTGGCGGCGGTGCTTTCGGTGGTGCCGGTGCTTTTGGCGGCCCCTTAGGCGGTATTGATGGCGTGGCACTTGGTGTTTCCGGCTTCCTTGCTGCCCTCCTCGGTGGTGTTGAAGGCGGTGCTTTCGATGGCGCTGGAGGTGGTGCTTTCGGTGGCCCCGGAGGTGGTGCTTTTGGTGGTGCTGGATTTGGTGCCGGTGCTCTTGGCGGTCCATTTGGCGGTGCTGAAGGCGGTGTTCTCGGCGTTTCCGACCTTCTTAGTGCCCTCTTCGGTGGTGCTGAAGGAGGTGGTTTCGGTGGCGCTGGAGGTGGTGCTGGAGGTGGCGCTTTTGGTGGTGCTGGAGGTGGCGCTTTTGGTGGTGCTGGAGGCGGTGCTAGAGCCGGTGCCAGAGCCGGTGCCAGGGGCGGTGCTGGAGGTGGTGCTGGCGGCGGCCCATACAAAGACTCCATTACCGCTGTCCTTATGGGTGTCAGTGGCCTCGTGGCTGCTATTCTTGGTGACCAGGCGCACACCAAGGCCCTCATGAGGACAGAATACGGCAAAAGTACGTTCCCCTAGTCTCTTTGAAAGTGTTTGTTCATTTGCTCTCTTATTATTATTATTATTATTATTATTATTATTATTATTATTACCATTGCGATCGTAATAATGCACCTTATCTTCATAATCAGCGTTTTCCTCATGGTCACCGTACTGTCATCGTCGCTGCTTTCCTCTCCCTCCTCCTCCTCCTC